CTTTTCCAGTCCTCTGGCCACTGTTGAGTTTTCCAAACTTGCTGGCATATTGAATGTAGCACCTTAACAGCGTCATCTTTTAAGATTTTAAATAGTTCCACTGGAATGCCGTCACTTCCACTGACCTTGTTGTTAGCCAAGCTTTCTAAGGCCCACTTGACTTCACTCTCTAGGATGTCTGGCTCAAGGTCAGCAACCACACTATCTGGGTTGTCCGGGATATCCAAATGTTTCTTGTGTAGTTCCTCTGTGTATTCTTGCCAATTCTTCTTGATGTCTTCTGCTTCTGTGAGGTCTCTCCAATTTTTGTCCTTTATCATGTTCATCTTCTGTAGAGTGGTCCTATGTGGATTGGCTCACAAGCAGCCCTGCAGTGGTATTAGACTACAGAGATCTGTTATATGTCACAGTTCATTTTTTACTCTCGCTCAAAATGAAGCAGTAGATAGCATGTTTGTGAGAATGTCAACAAGGAAGAGAGTCAGAATATATTTTAGCATGAGGGAGTGAGAAATGGGAATGCACATCACACCAGCGTACTGAAAATATACCTTGATCTTCTTACATTTTCATTGGCTCATCTGGGAAACAAGGATAACAACAATCTAATTTGTAACTCTAGAATCTTCATTAATGAAAGGAATTCTGAATAAGTGTGTGATCTAAAGTGCAGTCAGATTAGGTCAAAATGAGCAGACTAACAGTACCACATGCTTCAATTCTGGTCAGATAGTGTCAAATATCTATGGATTTGTAAGATAATTAGTTGCTCACACTTACGTACAAGAAAGAGCAACCCACTGCTAGCATCTTGCCTTAGGTGGCAAGATGCTAGCAGTGTTAAACTGTACTGTTCCTTCATCAGTAGGGCCCTGGCATTGATTCCTTTTTCCTTCCTGGCACTCCAACTTGCTGTGTCTCCATTCATCCTGTGCCACAACTTTTCACTGTGTTAATGGTGGTTCCTGCTCCTCTCTCCTCCCCATCAGTTCTTTACATAAAGAAGTATCAACTGTTGAAAGTGACTGGTCCATATTTATATAGAAGTGGCAAGGTAGGGTCAGTGGTTCCGGCCCTCCTCCCAAAAACCAGTAGGGTGATTTCACTGTTTCAGCTCTTGTGGTATAGTAGACAGAATTTCAAACTAAAGCACAAGAGGTCAGAATTCAAAGCCCCATTTGGCCATAGAAACTAATTGGCTGAAATTCCGTTGCTTAGCATAGTGCAGTAAGTCACACTAGAGTAGGCACATTGAATAATTCAGGATTTGGTGAATCAAGTGCTCCATAACTTCCATTGATTCAAATGGGCCTACTGGAGTTGTGACTTGCTTCAGCATAGTAAGTCACAACTCGTCATCGTTTAGTCGTTTAGTCGTGTCCGACTCTTCATGACCCCATGGACCAGAGCACCCTGGGCCCTCCTGTCTTCCACTGCCTCCCAGAGTTGTGTCAAATTCATGTTGGTTGCTTTGATGACACTGTCCAACCATCTCATCCTCTGTCGTCTCCTTCTCCTCTTGCCTTCAGACTTTCCCAACATCAAGATCTTTTCCAAGGAGTCTTCTCTTCTCATGAGATGGCCAAAGTATTGGAGCCTCAGCTTCAGGATCTGTTCTTCCAGTGAGCACTTGGGGTTGATTTCCTTTAGAATGGAGAGGTTTGTTCTCCTTGAGGTCCAGGGGACTCTCAAGAGCCTCCTCCAGCACCACAATTCGAAGGCATCAATGCTTCGGCAGTCACTACAGGAAAGACCATAGCTTTGACTATTTGGACCTTTGTTGGCAAGGTGATGTCTCTGCTTTTTAAGATGCTGTCAAGGTTTGTCATCGCTTTCCTTCCAAGAAGCAGTCATCTTTTAATTTTGTGGCTGCTGTCTCTATCTGCAGTGATCATGGCGCCCAAGAAAGTAAAATCTGTCACTGCTTCCATATCTTCCCCTTCTATTTCCCAGGAGGTGATGGGACCAGTGGCCATGATCTTAGTTTTTTTGATGTTGAGTTTCAGGCCATTTTTTGCGCTCTCCTCTTTCACAAGTCACAAGTAGAGGAGGCCATTTGAATCAATGGAACTTACGGAGGAGTTGACTCACCAAAATTCATTGAATTATAATGATACAGAAAGACTGCAGCTATTTTTTTGGTTCTACTAGTCAATAAAGATTTCCAATTTTTGTATCTCAAGGTTTAATACCCAAGTTCAATCCAATGGCTTCTTAATTGTTCTGAGTCAAATTAAGTTGTTTTCCTAATGTCTCCAAAATAAATATTGTTCTTGGTGCATGTGGCAATTCTACCTGATCTGCCTCTGTATGTGTATTTGTGTATGTAAGTTTTGATTACAGGTCTGTATGATATATAGCTGAGGTTGAGTAAGTATGCATAGACAGAGTGTTAATATGATTATCAGACTGGTGATAGAATCCTGGATGCACGACTAGATGCTAATTGTTTGGCGCGCTTCATATGTGATGAAAAGTGTTTGGAAGAGAGTTAGGGTTAGTTTGTTAGGAAAAATCTTTGAGATAATGTGTTGTGTAGAAACTGTTGAATCATTTAATCTTGAATTTGAGATATGGGAAGAGTAGTTTATGTGAGATTATGGGTGTTAAAACTATATTGAGATATGGGAAGAGTAGTTTATGTGAGTTTATGGGTGTTAAAACTATAGAAGAATATATATGTATGTATGTATGTAAGTACGTACATACGTACGTACAGTGGTGCCCACTTGACGATGATAATCTGTTCCGTTAAAATCACTATTAAGCGGTATCGGCGTCAAGCGGAAAAAAGCCCATTGAAATGCATTGAAAACCGTTTCAATGTGTTCCAATGCGCGAAATACCTCATTGTCCAGTGAAGACCCTCCATAGGGGAAGCATTTTCGGTCGCTGTCTTCTAGAAATAGGTCCAGAAAACAGCGGGCGGCCATTTTGAAACCCGCCAATCAGCTGTTTTTGACTGTCGTAATGTGAAGAATCTGTTCCCGAAGCAGGGAACCGATCGTCGTAAAGCGGATTTTCCCCATTCAATCATTGTGAAGCCATTTCGTCGTGAAGCGGGGTAATTGTCAAGCGGGGCACCACTGTATGTATGTAGGGATGTAGGGATGTGGTGGCACTGTGGGTTAAACCGCAGAAGCCTCTGTGCTGCAAGTTCAGAAGACCAGCAGTCGTAAGGTTGAATCCACATGACAGAGTGAGCTCCCATCGTTTGTCCCAGCTCCTGCCAACCTAGCAGTGTGAAAGCATGTAAATGCGAGTAGATAAATAGGTACCACCATGGTGGGAAGGTAACGGCGTTCCGTGTCTAGTCGCGCCGGGCACGTGACCACAGAAGCTGTCTATGAACATACGCTGGTTCTATGGCTTGGAGATGGGGATGAGCACCACGCTCTAGAGTCGGACACAATTGGATTAAATGTCAAGGTGAACCTTTACCTTTACCTTTACCTTTACCTGTATGTATGTATGTATGTATGTATGTATGTATGTATGTATGTATGTATGTATGTATGTATGTATGTATGTATGTATGTATGTATGTAATATAATTATTTTATCTGTTGGTTTAACTACCCCTGAAATTTCCCTTCCCTTTCTTCCATTTACATGTATATCACAAATAAACTCCCTTTGGTTCTGAAATAAAACATGCCTCATTGTTTATTTTTAAGCATAACTTTAAGATGTATAGCAGTTAGGGAATAAGGAATAGTGTATCCACATAGTACCAGACCAGTGGGATAGTGAGAAGGGGCCCTTTGTAGTGGCACAGTCCTAATTTCTATTACTATATGGTTTGGATATTGTGTCTGAAACTACATTGACCTATCACTGTTTCTGCCTGCAGAGTGTTTACTTCTCTTATACAGATTCATGGGTGCAGCATAGCTTGGAATAATTTTGATTGAAACATTTCATAGTTTGCTGGTTTGTCAAATGAAGCACATTTTCTGAGGGACATCTTAGCAAAGTGTGCATTTCAGAGTGCAGTGAACTGTGCAACATGGCCATTTTAATTATGCCTAGCTGTAAGTGACTTTATGAATTGCATTACAAAAAGCCATTTTAATTCCTTGCTTGCAATTATACAGTAAATGAAAAAACTAATAAGGAAAATGAAGTTCAAAAACAGGCCGGAAGAATGATCAACATATGTAGGTACCATAGGAGGATACAGTCAATATTTAATCATCACAAGTGATCACCAATGTGTGCAGATACCTGCTGTAATCAGGCCATCTTGCTAGATATTTCTTAGTACAAAGTTCTTTTTAGATTCATACCTCTGCTGTGGTTTGTTTGGAACTCTTGGTCTGTAACATACAAAATATGTTATACTTGCCACCTCTATTAAAAAAGAATAATTGCCTTTCTCCCTTCATTATTAAATTTGCCGTTCTAGTAATCAGCATACAGATAGCAACATAATCAAAATCTCCAGATGACCTCCCCTGAAGGTTTTTCATAGAAACAGCTTTACATGAAGAGCATTGGGAAGACTGACAACCTCTGGAACTCCTCACAATTGAGTGTCTAAGGGGCCAACAGTTCCTTCCGAAGTTGCACTCTTTGGACACAACCAGTAACACTCCAGGAACATGGTGACGCAGCAGGATTGTGTTATTTCTCTCTCTCTCTCTCTCTGGACTACTTTCTTGCATGCTGTAGCAGACAAAATATGTAATGCCCTTCAAAAGAGACATGTCCTGATATGCTGACTGATTTTTTTAAAAAAGGTTTAAAATATATGACCAACTTTATGATAACAGTCATAAAGACTTTTCAAACAACATCCTTCCAAAGTCATATATGAAAAACACATATACCAAAATTATTTAATCAGGACTCATTATTCCAAAATGGAATAAAGGAGGATGACCAGAATGAAAAAGTAGAAAAATACATTTCCTTGTTTCTTCTGTTTACATACTCTGCTACTTTACCCACATGAGCCAACTCCAAACTTTTAAATAATATTTTTCTGGTGCCAGGAATTATAGCTGCTCTTTAGTATCTTACTAGAATGATATTGACTGCAGTTCATAAATTAAAAACCTATTTATATGAAGACCATCCTGTATTCAATTAAACAAAACAATAATGACACCTACTGTTTATTATGTTTAATTCATAAACTCAACATAAATATATTTCAGGACAGTTCTTTAACATAAGAGATAATCCCACATCTTAACTCCCCATGTCACCAACAACCAAAAGTATTAGACCAAAAAATTCTATTTAGTCTTTCTAGAATAACATACCAAAGAAAAATAATCTTTAATTCAATTTCTGTTAGTTCTCTACAAAAATTGCATATTCATATCCTCTGGTTTTTGCTAAACCTATTCTTCAGCCACAGTTTGTAAACCTCTCTTCCAAAAACACATTTATTGATTTATTTCTTAAACTTCTATGCAACTTCATTATAAGGCAGTACTCTGGGCAGTTAATAGTCAAAGGAAAGCAAATACAGCAATATAACAATCAAAAATAAGCAATAAAGGATACAGTAATAAAATAAAATAAAATCAAGTCAAAATATCATAAAAGAAACAAACCAAGAGCATGAAACCATAATTGGATAGGCAGTACAAATCAGCTAATTCATGTGAATATGCCCTTGAAAGCCTCTGTAAAGAAAATTCTCTTAAGCAACCTCTTAAAGGTTGGGAGGGAAGGGGCCAGACAAAGCTCATCTAGAAGCCTATTCAAAAGGTGCCACAACCAAGAAGTGGTGGATGTTTCTCTGCCTTCCCTCAGTATGTCATTCTCTGTGAAAATCTGGTGGAACACATTGTTTTTCTTGGGGAAAGGCTATCCAACGAGTAACAAGGTCCCAAATCATGGAAGGTTTGATTGGTTAAAATGTGTAAAACATTGAACCTGATCCAGAACATCACAGATAACCAGTTCAGGTGTGTCATTACTGGGGCAATGCAATCAAATTTACTCATCCTTTACACCACCCTGGGGGGCACAATCTAAATCTGCTAAAGTTTCTGAGTCATCCTCAAGGGAAGCCCCACATAGAGAGCATTACAATAGTCAATCTTGGAGCTCACCAACACATGCACCAAAGTCTTCAGGGCTCCTTCATCCAGGTTGGAGTTGGTAGAGAGTGATTAGCCTCAGTTGGTTGAAGGTAAACCTGGGCATGGCTACAATCTGGGAATTCTCTGAGAGTTCCAGATCCAGGAACAAACTCAGATTCCGAAATGGATCCCTAATTGGAAGGGATATTCTATCCAACCTAGGGAGACAGTATCCTGTCAAAAAGGCAAGGGCTCCAGAAGAAGGATCTCCATCTTATCCAGGTTCAGGTTCAGCCTGTTATCTTTGGTTCATTTCAGAACCAAGGCTAGGCAGAGCTCAAGCACCTGGACAGCATCCAGTGCAGAGGATGTAAAGAACAGAAAGAGTTGTATGTCATCAGCATACAGATAGCAACACATTTCGGATCTCCAGATGACCTCTCTCAAAGGCTTTGCATAGAAACAGCTTTACATGAAGAGCATTGGGGAGACTGACAATCCCTGGAACACCCCACAATTGAGTGTCTAAGGGGGCAACAGTTCCTTTCCAAGTTCCACTCTTTGGACACAGCTATTGAAGGAGGACCAGAACCAGCTGAGTGCCATTCTCCCAATCCCTGATAATCCATCCAGGAGGATACTGTGGTCTGGTTCACCGCCTCACTAATGATCTTAATATTAAAGGCTCTTTTCGTGGATGTTAAGGTGTTGGCATATCTCCTTCTCAGAATCTTAACCACAGCCAAATTATATGTTTCCTTCCTTTTGAAGCATAAATGAATTCATTTTGCCTTTTTGTGGCATTTATGTTAATGGTTTCTGGATTTTTCCTTTTTTTCTCCCTTGGAAATATTTGCAGTTGGTTATGAACCTGTATACAATTTTTCCACACACTTGCCAGTGCTTGCATATATTTTGAACTCAAATATGAGTATTCAAGTACAGAAACCAAGAATTCACTCTACATTAATGTGTTACACATACGTCTACTATTCCTCTCTCTGAATGGAAGATCTTTCTTACATTGCAATCTAGCCTTCTAAAGAGATAGGGGATGCTTGTTAATGTTATTATGGCCTAAATTAGCATATTTAGCATTGACTTTCAAATGGAAATGCTTTTTAAAAGATTTTTTTAACTTCCAGAGAAACTGCTGCACACCTGGTCTTCCTGAGTCAAAACAGGAAAAAGTGATTAAAGCAGTATGAATATGTAAAGAATTTTCCCAGAGATGTTAGTGTTTGAAAGTGATACATTCTGAGAAGGAATACATCTAAATGCTAAATGTTATGTCTGAAAAAATGTAAATGTTATTAAATGTTATCTACATTATATGAACTCTAAATCTCACAAATGCCTAAATATCTGATTCCACCATGTATCTTTCGCATAATTATTCTGTGTAAAGATCACTGCTGCCTGCAACTCTGGTTATTAAGTTATTTGCAAACAGCCACAGCCACTGAGATACAGGATAAAACTATCTAGCATAGGTAGAGCACCCAAACTGAACCGTCTGGGATTGAAACCACTGGAAACAAATGGGGGGGGGAGGGCAAGGATCAAGGTGAATGTGTTGCCTAAATTCTGAAAAAGTGCCTAATTAAACCTCAAAAGCATAGTACAGTGGACCCTCAACTTACAGACGGCTCGACTTACTGACTTTTCAAGTTACAGACTTCTCTGGCCGCAAAATTTAGGTTCAACTTGCAGCCGGAGAATCGAGCTACAGACCAGAAAAAAACCAAAATGGAACAAAAACGGAACAAAAACAGCTGGTTACTGATTGATTGGTTTTCAATGCATTGTAGGTCAATGGAGACTCGATCTACAGACTTTTCGACCTGCAGCCACCGTTCCAATACGGATTAATTCCGTAAGTAGAGGGTCCACTGTAATTCATAAGGAATCTCATCCAGGATACATTTTTTTCTATTTAAATACCTTCTGCTTTCCTCCTGAAGACTGATTTTATATGTAATTAACTGAGGTGGAATGGTCCCCTAGCGGTTCTTGAACAGCTTCCTTCTTTGGATGTTCTGAGGGATTCTGGGCGTGTAGTACTACCTGAATGTCCATGCAGAGAGAACGATCTGTGTACTGTGACAAGAAAATGAGTCATGCGGTCAGATTAAATCAGTTTGTTATTTTATATGCTGCTTTGCCTCAGCAGTCTGTGCAAAAGTGATTCATAATAACTATCAGCTTATCCAAGTACATATCCTAGAGTGGGGAGCATTTTGCAAGTCATGTCATTACTTTTCAGGAAAAACAATTTGACATACAGGATATTCAATATTATAAATAATCCAGGCTTAACGCATAAATACAGAACAAAACCAACTTAAAAACCAGAAAAGGGGGAAAAAACCCTTAGTATTAGTATTGCTGCATTCCACAGAAGCTTGTCTTAATTATAATTCACAATACAATTCATAGAAGGTGGACTTTTCTCACTAGATTTGATGTTTCACAGCTAGTTTCCTCATCCTTCCTCCTGAAGAGACTTATAACAACAAAGGAAACTTCTGGAAAGTGGCAAGTCTTCTTCTCCAGTCCACATGTTCTGACTATTAGGATTCTCAGGCTTATGAATGTACATTCATATGTACTGTGAGTAAGCCTAACTGAACACAGTGGAACTTACCTGTAAGGAAACTTACCTCAGATTGCATTTATTAGAGTTTAAGTTGCTCTCGTCCAAACATATGTATGACAAGGGATGTGATGGAATATGTGTGTTTCCAAAATTGCTCTTCCTAATGTTAAGCCTGGACTTATAAAATCATTTTTCTTACAGTTTTAATCTAAAGTAGTTTACATTGAAAACCTAAGGCCATTCAACACCAAAATGAACACAAAAAAGGAAGGGGTGGGAACCACAGGTAGAGACAAATTGAATTTAAATGGCAATTACATTTCAGCAGTGAAACCGCAGGAACAGAAGGAATCCACAGGAAGGTAAAAACAAAGCCAAGCCAAAACTTTCTGAACTGTCAGGTTTTGCTTGGATATCTGAAGGGACAAAGTGTTGAGAAAAGAGGAATTTATTCCATAATACTCCATAAAACATTTCTTAATATTGAGTGAAGAGTAAGTCCAATCAAAGAATAATTTGTGCATATACCTGAACTTTCTTACTTGATGATGGGTATTGGGGTTCAAACCTCTGCTTGCAAATATCTGCCTCCAATCATGGCCTCAAGGTCCTCTCCACCACTATGTGGAGCTGCAGAAGCTCTTTTGCCTGCCTGCTCATCCAGATGAAGGAGAGCACGGGGGAAAGCCCGACACCGGCTGAGTGGGGTGAGGGCTATAAGCAAGCCTTTAAAAGGCTGCCTGCCCCTCCCTCAGCCTCTGTCACTCAGAAGGCAATAGGAGGAGGATGGGCTCAGCACTGCAAGGTGTTTTGATTTTACCTCGTACTAATGAGGGCTGTTTGAGGAGCCCTTAAAACACATGGGCACTGCCATATTCTCTGGTAGCAATCTCTTCTTCAGACATTGAGGAATGTACAGGCTTTGGGGCTATATGGGGAAACTGAGGCGT